TTGTATGGTACCTACAGATTACACTACCCATAACATTTCATGCTCAAGAATCTTTTTTTTTTTAAAGATTTTATTTATTTATTTGAGAGAGAGAATGAGAGAGAGAGAGAGAGAGAGAGCGCATGAGAGGGAAGAGGGTCAGAGGGAGAAGCAGACTCCCTGCTGAGCAGGGAGCCCGATGTGGGACTCGATCCCGGGACTCCAGGATCATGACCTAAGCCGAAGGCAGTCGCTTAACCAACTGAGCCACCCAGGTGCCCTCATGCTCAAGAATCTTTATGACAAATATTACATCCAGTAATAGCTTATTTATAAAACTGAAGATTTTACTCAAAGCACAGAACTTTTGCTGTTTCCTAAATACATAATTACACAACATTCACACTGTAAAGCCAGTACATTGTGCATACAGAGCTAATACCATAAAGTGCTTTTATTTACACAGGGTTCAGGCCAGATCAATTTTTAACTGTGATCTCTGAAATAACTGTCATTTCTCACAGGCATATGAAACTTCAGAGAGTTTAGGATTTTTTTTCTTTTGGTTTTATATGACAAGTGATGATGTTATACTGTGTCAAAGGTATCTTTCAGAGTATGTGACCGTGCACTTGGCAGCTAGACTGTGGAAGGTGTGGGCCACATTTCTATAGATACGTTTTTCAGTTCTGTACAACTGAAAGCCACAGGCATCTGCCTGGGCCCAGGCTGCAGTGCCGCTCATGTCAGACACATACCATGCAGGCGGGTTTTATGTGTATCTTTTTAAATAAAAGAGACAAGATAACGCTTTAAAGCAGATCAAACTTCCTTCCCTATGCACAAAAAGGGCACAAATCATCCCTTAAAAATGTATAATCCCAACCTCCACACTTGGGCCTAAAACTCTGTGACACAAACCAAGGTCTTCTAATCTAGAACCCATCAGGGCCCACAGTCCAAATGGCAAACTGTGTAAGAGTAAGTAATATAAAATTTAACCAGAGTCTGACTCGGGGAAGAGAAGGTTTAAGTCGGAAAACACGGCAGCATTACTAAGACATCTGTCTCTAATAAATGATAGGGAAATGGAACTGTACCCACTCAGATTTTGGGCACATTAAAAGCAGGCACATTAACAGTTTTTCTGGAAGAAATCGGAAATAAAAGCAAAGAGTTATCAATTCATAACAAACTATACTAGCAGATTCAGATAAACCAAAAAGAAAATTACTGATTTAGGTACTTTTGGACTATTTCAAAGTTCTACCACAAAGGTATTATGGCTTAGGCTGTACAATCTGCAGAGAAAGGAGTAATCCTTTTAAAAGTTTTCAAAAAAACAATATTTAAACATATTATATACATAATACTACTACAATCACAGCTCTGGTGGCTGCCCGTTTCCTACATTCTCTAAGAGACTCTTTTATAGGAGGGAGCACGCTGAGATATTTCTTCACAGCGCTAAATCAGAGCAAGGAATGGACTGCCTTAAATACATGCAATGTGGATTCTAGTTAAACCACAACTCTTGGCTTGAATATGCCAAGATTTCCAAAAACTGGCATATTACACAAACTATAAGTCGCACATAATTAACAGTCAAGAATGTCTCAATTTATGTTTTACTAATCTAATTTTTCACAAAGACAAGGCAATGCTTTTCAGATAGACCAGCTAGTCACTTTTAAATTCATACTGGATTTCGAGATGTTCTTCACATGCAGGAAGTTAGGTCAAAGAAAGGAATAATTAAAGATGCTTAAGAACACAATTTAAAATATGTCCACATTCTTCGTCAGATCTTAAAGCATTACCAAACCAGAAAAAAAGTATTTATTAATAAAAGCAAATTAAAAATCTGTAACTAAAAGGGAAGTAAAAGCAAACTACATATAGTTCTTGTTTGTGGGGCAGAGGGAATGATACGGATATTAACTCTGAATATTAAGGGAAGACACTAATATGTCCTAAAACAAAATGACAAAATAGAATCCATGGCAACACAGTTTCATATTGAAAAAAGGTATAGCCCATCATGTAAAATAAATTACAAAACTTTATATACCTCACACAGTTTGAAAATAACATATATAAAGTAAAAGTTGATTAAAATACAAAATTCAGATTAGAATAGGAAATAGCATAATTCTCTCAGAAAATAACATCAGAATAAAACATGACACAAAGGAACAAAATACATAATTAACAACCTTAAAATATGTATAAAAACTTTGTATATGCTAAGAATACAAATATTTTAATCATATGGGAAATAGTCACCAAAAATCACTGTATATTAAGCCACACAGAAAATCTAAAAAATACTTCCCAAAGCAAAAACCAATCAGGTTGCAGTGTACATTACTGACTGCAATGTACTAAAATTAGAAGCTAAAAACCAAATACCTAAAGGAAAAATAAATTAAATTAAAATTTAAAAAGAAAATTTAAAAAGAAGAAAAGAAACTTTGGGTTAAACAAGAAACAAAACAGTCAAGATAAACTTCAGCAATGACTGCAGAGTGAAATCCCCAGGATGTGACCAGAGATTGCAGAAGAGAGCAACATACAGCTTTAAATGTGAGAAATTAGGACAATAAAAGAAAAAAAGAAAAGTGAAACTGAAAGATTCTGGAAAAAAATTAGTAACAATGCAAGAAAAAGTAATGACATAGAAAACAGAAGTGCAGGTGATACATAAAATCAAAACCTGATTCTTTGAAAATAATAATCCTTGAACCAAGTGTCAGTGTTAAGGACCAGTGCACTCTAAAACACATATAAAACTGAAGTTGCTTAATACAGCAACATCTAGTAATTTAATAAAAGGACAGATTTTAATCTTTGTCCCTAATTCTACTACATATTTGTGAAAAATCACTGACCAATTCCAACACAATAAACTAACACTACATTAGCAGAAAGATAACTGTCCATTTGTTTTTTAAAGTACTTCTATATCTCAATCACACAATTATACAAAACTGAAATAAATACAAATAAGAAAAGTTACCCATGAACTCCACCCAATTCATACTTCACCAACCATTTATCAGACTGGTAAGCATCCTCCCACTTTTCTTTTCCTTTTTAAAAACTTTTAAAAAGTTTTATTAGGCAATACTTAAGATATAAGGGGGGGAAAAAAAAGCATTACAGTGAATACCTATATACCCACCACCCAAGTTGGAAATAAACAACACCAACACAGCTGAAACCCTCTAGGTATGCCTGCCCTTCAGAAGTAACTATCTGTACTTTACTACATGTGCACACACCCCTAAACAATGTAACACTGCTTGGTCTTTTTTAAAATTTCATATAAATGTTACAATACTGTAAGTACTCTCACTGATTTGCTCTCCTTAAACATTATGTTTGTGAACACTAGCCATGATAACATACATAGTTCATTAATTTTCACCATTTCCATCATATGAATATCAAACAATGTATTCCCCTACTGATGAATACACAATAATGCTGTTAAAAACATTCTTTGAAAATCTGTGTACATGAGTGAGAGCATCTCTAGGGTGTGTACACAGGAAGAGAACTGCTGCGTCTCAGGATTGTGTACATCTTTAACTTTAGTAGACACTGACAAATTGTCTTCTACATACTACAAGAGTTCCCAATGATCTATAGTCTTACCTACGCTTAGATTTGTCTGACTTCAGTTTTTCCTAGTGTGAAAAGTATGAAACAGTAGCTGATCGTGGTTTTATCTTCCCTGATTATTAGTGAGGTTGAACATCATTTTCATGTTCAGACATTTGTTTCCTCTTCTGTTAATTCTTGGCTTCATTTTCTGATTAGCCTACTCCACTCATCAAAAATCTCTGACTCAAATATTCTAATAAAAAGTTTTGATGAAGCCTTGTCATCTGTAGTGGGCAGGAACCATTCAATAACCCTTTCTTTTCCAGAACACAGTCTAACAGTCTTTTCCAGACACAAAAGCAGTGTCTTGGTGTACAGAATATTCAGTATAAAAATCAGCACTCTTCAATGTGCTTTTCAATGGGTATCTTTCCTCTTCTTGTAACATGCATTTCAAATGATCAGAAGACAAACAGAAGACTCCTATCTATGAAGTCTGACATCATATACATGTAGTATTAGGGCATACTGTTCCAAGATTAAACTAAAAACTGTAAAAGATGACCATACATTCAACTTAGCAAATCCTTAAAAATTATACAGAAATTCCCATATGACCTTCAAAACAGATATGATCCCAAGGGACAAAGCTGACATAAGCTGAGAAGGAGTGAACACTTCCACCCCAAGTAGATAACTCATGACAAGAGAGAACACAATAATGTGCTGGAGTGAAGAGAGGGTAGCTGGGAATGCCCAGGGCTACCAAGATCCTGGAATCCACCATATAGCAGATGTCTGTATGTCAAGTACCTGTCCCGTACAATGAGGCAGACAATAACCACCACACAGGTCTCTGTGGATGGTAATCATGATAGCATAGGATGATATACCTCTATCTGATCCAATTCTATTCCATGGATGAGGAAATAAAGCAGAGAGATCAAGTGCACTCTTCAACATCACAATTAATAAATAATTCCCATGCCCAAATTCTTCATAATGTATTGTAATATTCATAGTACCTTTCCAACATGAGTCTCAATGACTGTTAAAGGATATGCACAGGAAGAAGCTGACTAGGGGCACTACCAGAAGAATCTAAGAAGATAGGAAATGTACCCAGAACCTTCAAAAGAATTACAATGAGTAGATGATGTTTACCTTAAATGATAACTTACTCATTTTTCTTTGTGCTGAAATATACTTTAAACATTTGCCATCTAAAGGGTAAAACAAACTGACTGCCAACTTTAGGAATATATGGCATTCATGAAGGCAAATCTGTTAATTAAGACACATTTAAGAAAGTATCTTAAGAAATGATTTTCAGATAAACCATCACCAATTTGACCAACTACACTCTAGCTGGTGGAACTCAAGTGGGCAAATACTGGAAAAAGGTTACCTACCTACTGCGGGTGCATCATACTCATCACCAAGCAGAATTTCTGGAGCAGAATATGCAAGAGATCCACAGCTTGTAGTGAGCTTCTTCCCTGGTTGAAATTTGTTGCTGAAACCAAAGTCTGTCAACTTTACAAGACCTTGTTTTTCAAAGAAGACCACATTCTCTGGTTTTAAGTCTCTGTGAACCACATGGAGTTTATGGCAGTAAGATATGGCATGAACAATCTGAGCAAAGTACTTCTTAGCCAAATCTTCATTAAGTCCCTCTTCGTGTTTCATTATGTAATCGAACATATCTCCTCCATCCCCAAGTTCTAGAATAAGATATAGTTTGGTCTGGGTGTCAATAACTTCATAAAGGCGTACGATGTTGGGATGCTGCACTAGTTTCATGCATCTCACTTCTTGGAAAAGATGACCAGTGGCTAAAGTGTCCAATTTTGTCTTGTCAATAACTTTTACTGCTACTTTTTCACCTGTAAAGACATGCCTGGCAAGTTTAACCACTGCAAAATGACCTCGACCCAAGGTTTTATCCAGATCATATAATCCAGCAATCTTTCCATCATACCCTCGCTTGAATCCTGCCATGCTGGTCCAACAGAAGGAAAAATATCTAGACTGTTTGAAATGGATCTTCTCATATAAGAATATCTGGTGAAAATAAGGAATTCATTTTCAATGTCGCCATGGACACCTACAAAAGAAGAGAAACAAAATTAAGTTTCTGTAGCTTTTTCTCTTATAGCTTTCTCTTTTTTTTAAAGTTTTAATAGAAGTTTGAAGTAGAGACATAAAATGAATAAGGGCCATTTATAACCATCTATATATGTATTTTGGGTTTATGTTACAAAGGCTGCGAATTTAAATGCCATATTAAACTTCGCAAACTGAAAAAAATTAGTTGAAACAAGTTTTTGGTGATGTCAGAAATAAGGAAACTGGCAAGTTTGATAAACTCTGTGTAAAAAAAAACCATCTTGCGAAAGTAATTTCATTTAGTGTCTTAAAAAACAAAAACTGACAAAAAAGGGAAAACGGATTAAACATTTGGACAGAAACCCAACAACTTTTTCCTGTTATTCCAAAGCTAGCACTATTTCCTGTAAGCACAAACAGATCCCTTTAGTGAGGCCTCCTCTAACTCTCCCAGCTGGAATTACCTTCCCTACTCCATATCTCCAACAGCTGCTTGGGACACCTGTATGGTCTTATTCTATAGGTTTTTGTATATGCCATCCTCATCCTAAGACTGCAAAGTTCTGAGGACTCTAAGGTTCTATTTTTTTTTTCCCTTCTACCATTCCTTGAACAGTGTTTAACATATAACCAGTAATCAAGTTTATTAAATTTTGAAATTCAACTTCTTTTCAAAACGTTTACAAGGTGACTGTTGCTCTTCTTGTCACACTAGTGCCTAGCTAAGCACACATTAGGTGCTTAATGTTTGCCGACTGACTGGTACTCACTCTTTGTACTTCTCAGTTATGCTTATCTTTATTACAGTTTTCCAACTCCCAAACAACCCACCATGATCTGATTATATTTCGACAATGAACAAGCATGCATTCTTAAACCATCTTAAAGACCACTTGGTTTTAAAGACCGTATCTCACATGGCATTTAAAATTCTAAACCTTTATGAACTCTAAATACAGAAACAGGCTCTTATAAATGACCCTCAGAAAAACCAATGTATAAAATTATACAAATTAAAATATCACTTTAAATCTCACAAATTAAATTCCATTATTTTTTCTGACCAAAATTTAATAGAATTATAGCAAAATCCAATGAGGAATACAGCCATCTCCCAAGACTAGCTCTGTCCTGTGTGCATACCCCTCCCTTCTATGAAACCTTTTCTACTGCATGTTTCCAGTTGTTTTATTAATAGTACTTACATTATCTACTCCCACTTAGATGAAAACAACCAAAAAAAGTAAATTGTACATAAAATGAGGTCATTTTTTTTATTTTAAAGCTCTAGCATTACATTTCTTTAAATCTCATTTTTGCTTAAAAGAACAGAAGAAAAGCTAACATTTATTAAAAGCCTACTATATGGGCACCTGGGTGGCTCAGCTGTTAAGCATCTGCCTTCCGCTCAGGTCATGATCCCAGGGTCCTGGGATCGAGCCCCGCATGGGGCTCCCTGCTCAGCAAGAAGTCTGCTTCTCCCTCTCCCACTCTCCCTGCTTGTGTTCCCTCTCTGTCTCTCTCTGTCAAATAAATAAATAAAATCTCTTAAAAAATTTTAAAAATAAGAAAAAAAAGCCTACTATACATATTTGTGCAGAATGAATCAAAGTGCTACTAAGATTCAAACTGAATTCTTATTTCAAAGCTCACCTTCTTTATAAACATTTAACCACTCTAAACAATGTTACATTTAGGATATCTGGTGAGTTAAAGTACCAACTATAAAAGAGGCATAAAGTCATTCTCACATGGAAATTGAAATGATCTGAAACACATATCTGGGGTCACCACAATATATATATATATATAGAGAGAGAGAGAGAGAGAGAGAGAGAAAGCTTAAAAAGCCAATGTATGTTTCATGTTTTTTTATATTTTAGTAATTACTATAAATATAAACTACCGTTCACTGAGGAAGTACAATATGTCACTCACATACCAAATGCTTTATGTCATCCTCATTTAACTTTACAACTGCCCTCAGAAACAGGGATTATTAGCCCTACTCTGAGGCACAGAAATGGTAAGTCACTTGTCATTGGCTACCAGGCCAGTGTGTAAAGAGCTAGGATTTGAACCCAGGGCTACCTGAACTCAAAGCCTCTGCTTTTAACAACTATGCTACACTGTTTCTACAAACTAATTAAACCAAACTAAGTTAATCCTGTTTCTACAAAGATTTTTAAAATAAGAAACCAGTAATATGTACAGGTGTTGGAGAAAAAGCAAATTTCTTCCATACTGTATATTATCATGTCATCTGAGCTATTAATTTTAATGATAAGATTAACAGGGAAATCTGAGTGAAAAGATCTTGCTTTAATTGGACAGTAGTTCCCCAAAAGAAAGTTTAATTCGGGCATATTTAATTTTCAAAAATAGAAACTCTAAGCTAACTCCGGGGGACAGAAAACTATCTTTAAATCTCTAATTTTGATTAATTATAAGGGCAGTAATTATCCTTAAAATTCTACCTGAGTCTATGTTTCTATTGTACAAGCTTGTAAATGCAACTTAAGCTCTCAAAACAATTTCAGGACACCCCCAAGTTATACAGTATTTGTGGTTTTTGTTGTTTGTTTGTTTTTTTAAAGATTTTATTTATTTGACAGAGAGAGACACAGCGAGAGAGGGAGAAGCAGGCTTCCCGCTGAGCAGGGAGCCCAATACGGGGCTCGATCCCAGGACCCCGGGCTCACAACCTGAGCCGAAGGCAGACACTTAATGACTGAGCCACCTAGGTGCCCCTATTTGCTTTTTTCATCTATCACTTTAGTTTAGATATATTCTTATAAAGTGGCATCTAAACCCGATTTTAGAAATAAATCTGAATTTAATTAAATTTTAATTAATTAGGTTTTCCCAGTTTTAATTTTGCCTTATTATGAAAGTAACAAATGTGTAAACAGATGAGGAAGGAAAGTCTTTTTTTAGGGTCTCCAACACCCAGAAACAATCACAACTAACACTTTGAGGTTTCTCTTCCCAGAATAGTACCAGCAAAAAGGTACAATGAAAACAGTTTTTAATCTACTAGCGAGTTCATGGGAAAGAATCTAATAAGGTTATCTTCACAATGAGACTACCCTGGAGTGAAATAATAATCACTTTCACTATCAAGAAATTTACTCTTTTTGTCCTTTGTTTTGTACATATATCCCTTTCCAGGGTCTATGAAATTATATACCTAAAAACAGGACATTATGATTAACTGAAGGTTGGAAGGAAAAATAACCTTGTTAGTGAACATCTTTTTAAGTACTAGCCCACTGTGTAATCCTACCATCAAGTGCATTTTGTGTTAGCACAGGAAATAACTAAATTGTTTTTTGATCTTTGAGGATCTTCCAGTGACCAAAAGTCATTCTGAACATCAATGACAAATGTGAAGCTGTGGCTTATATAAAGTGCAGGTGACTCTGTAATGGCTCCAGCACATACCCTGCAAACCGCATACTGAATAATCCTTGTTACCACGGTTTCGTTAGCAGCTTCTTTTTCCTAAAAGAAGATACAGGAGGAGATTTTAGTTTAGTTCTATTTAACTTTGCTTAAAATCAAAATATCCAGACAAACATATAAAAGTGGTAAATTTGTCCTTAGTGACCCAGTCTCCTCTCCCACTCCCTATGTGAATTAAAACCCATTCAGAGAATGTTGAGTGAACAGGAATTTAACAGTAACAGATACACAGAGACTGTTCCAGGTAGCCCGGTCAGACAGATTTTTCCACTAGAAGGAGGAGGAAATAATAATCATGAACAGACGATTCACCATTTTCTAAATGCTTCCTGGGTAACAGGCACCAAATCCGTATTCCACGGATCATCACCAAGAGCCTGCAAGCTAGGCACAATGAGGCTTGACTTGTCCAATCAGCAGCGGTGGGCAGCTCCAATCTTGCCCAGCCTGGTTTCCAAGTCCAGCTTGCCTGCAGGAACCCTTGACGGCTCATGAAACACTCACTCCCACAGCCAGGGAGGGCAACCTTTACAACACACGATCTTCTAGCAGTCCAGCAGAAATCAATTACCATGCCAGCATCTGGGAACACATAAAACACCCTCATACCAGAGGCTTTCCATTCGATAGTAAAAAAGAAACTATCACTATGAACACAGAGAATGTGAACAGATCACTGACATCAAAGTCTGTGGCATGGTAAGAGTCCTTGGCTGAGGTGGCCTTACAGTCCTTTCCATAACACTGAAATATCCCACAAATACTGAAAGGCCTAAACATTCACACTAGGCCAAGGCAATTTACACAACACACTAAAGGTGAACATCTAGGTAATCATGAAGCTCATAAACAGGGCCAGCAAGGTCATGGGCACAGGCCCACCTTTAGAGACATGTGAACCCTGGAATGCTACCTGCTCCTTCAGCTCCAAGTGGGATATGGTAGCTCCTGACATTACCCTTGCTTGCTTCTCTTTCCACCAGCCAGTCCCTAGGCAAGGCAGTCAGTGTGGCTCAGCACTGGGTCTGAGCGCCAGACACTGGATCTGAATCCGACCTCACCTACCACTGGCCACAGGACCTCAGCAAAACCTGACCTCTCTGTATGATCAGTTTCCTTATTAGAAAATGTTAATAGTAAGAGTACAACTTCATAGGTTGTGGTGAGAACTGAATGAGTTAGTATAGGAAAAGTGTTTAGAATGAAGCCTGGCACAGAGTAAGCGAGAAACACTAGCTACCACCATCACTGTTAAAACGATGGTATTCTCCCTCATCCGAGTAGAAATTCTTCCACCCTACTTCAAGAATGAATCCACTGAGCTGTTCAGTTTCCTAAAATGTATTAAATTGAAAATGACTGATGTATGACTGTAATATAAAGAAAATAGTATCTCTAGTTGGGCATCAAAGTCTGATGATTTTTCAATAAAACATCCCACAAAATCTAAGTATTTGTTTTTAAAATGATACCAAGATGACTTTCTTTCAAATCTACCTTTTCAAAAAGAATTAAATGCTCCTTTACATTTTCCCCCCTAAAAGTAATATATTCTTACAGAAAATCTGGAAAATACAGACTAGAAAGTAGAAAGAATAAAAACGCATCCCATAGTCCTACCCCTGAAGATAAGCACTATCAATATTTTAGCGATCTTTCTGCAAATACTTATATACAGCTTCTTCCTTATTTTGTTTTAAAAAGGAGTGATCATTCTATATATAAGTTTATATCTTGTAGCCTGCTTTTTTCACTTGACATATCACTTTCCTTTGTTTTAGTATTTTGCTTCTATTATGAAGTTATGAAATACCTGTACTATAATATAAGAGAGTAAACAATTAGAACACAAACTGGTAAAAAGAATTTTTTTTTTTTTACAAATCATCCATTATTCTACTCTCTGTGACAATCTCTGTTAACAGTTTGGTACACAGCCTTCCCAATTATTTTCTACATATATGCCCAGGCACAAATTTTTTTATAAAATGGCATATAGACAGACACAGAAAGAAAAAAGGTTTACAACCACTTTAGAAGTGTTTTCTCTACAAAACAAGTTGATACAAATTCACTTTAGAAAATTTGGAAAATGCAGAAAAGCACAATATAAGGGGGTGGGGTGGGGATCACCCATAATTTCATCTAAGATGTCCTCTCTTTAGCTATTAGTATATATCCTTTATACCTACGTTTCTCTCTTTTTTTTTTAAAGATTTTATTGATTTATTTGATAGAGAGAGACACAGTGAGAGAGGGAACACAAGCAGGGGGAGTGGGAGAGGGAGAAGCAGGCTTCCCGCTGAGCAGAGAGCCCGAGGCGGGACTCGATCCCAGGACCCTGGGATCATAACGTGAGCCGAAGGCAGACGCTTAACGACTAAGCCACCCAGGCGCCCCATACCTTTATTTCTTTACAAAGCTAAGATACTGTATATGAAGTCTGAGACGACTTTTACCTCCTTTCTACATAATGAACATTTTCCTACGCACTGAGTTCTTGTAATTCGGTATTTTTAATGACACATAACAAAGATGCCATCTTTAAAAACAGCAAAACGTCTAAATTAGGCTATTCTAAAGCAATCTTATTTAGCATATGTTCACACATGCATATAACTGGGCTGGACCTAAATGAAATAGGCCAACTAGTCAAAAGTGTTTATAATACGGAAATTCATGTTTGAGAAACAACCACCAGTATATGTTGCAAGAATATACTGATGTTCTCCCAACTAAAGAGAGAAGCAAACTGAAGTGTGCGGGTGTGGCTGGAGAAGAGGAAGGAAGTGTGGGTGGCCCTACACACATTTTGCAAGCTGCTGAAAACAGTTGTAGAACCAGCCTCGGTTAAGTCTACTGTCAATTTGGAAATCACCCTGTTATTCTTGTCAAAATTCACTTAGATTTTCACTGACATCATCACCACTGCAGTGTGGTCTATATATCAAACAAATGTCTCCTACTCACACCTCCAGGGGAGGACAAAATAGCACACCAAACAAAGGTAGCTCTGCATGGCCAATCCATGGCATGAGAAAGTAGAGGAATGGAACAAAAAGGGCCATGTGTTTCTCTACATTTTATTGAGGATATTATAAATTTCCTAAAATCAGACCACCAATATTTAAATATGCAAAAACTTCCCCCCAAATTAAGTGCTTTAAAAAAAAGTATCTGTGCCAATGCTCTCCCTCTAATACAGATAACTAGAAAATGAGGGTTTTCATTTATTTATTTGAAAGAGAGAGAGAATGAGAGAGAGAGAGAGAGAGAGAGCGCGCACATGAGATGGGGGAGGGTCAGAGGGAGAAGCAGACTCCCCGCTTAGCAGGGAGCCCGATGTGGGACTCGATCCCGGGACTCCAGGATCATGACCCGAGCCAAAGGCAGTCGCCCAACCAACTGAGCCACCCAGGCGCCCTGAAAAATGAGTTTTTGCAAAGCCACACTAAAACTGCATTTAAGCTTCCTACATACGGAAATTATCTGGTATCTTTTACAAATACCAAAAATGAAAACTGTAATTTTTACTCATGGAAAATACTAGACTAAACTGCATGTTTATAGAAAAACTAATGGAAGTAAAGGAACGAACACTCTCCCAATGAATTCTACCACCCCAATCTTACTGCTAAAATTTCAAAGATACCCATAGGCTGAAAGGAAGACAGTAGACTAAATCCTCAGAGAGTATCAACAACCTCCTGGTCAAACAAAATAAACACAAACCTACATGCAGTTGCCACTGCTCTTCCCTCTATCCAAAATAAACAATATTCCACATTTCTAGAACAGCACTCCTCCCCCTGGGAGTTACCAATATAAGCCATAAATCAAAGATGAAGAAACCACAAATAGGTCAAGAGGTCCTAAGTTATGGAAGGATCCAGAGTTTTTCACTGGATGGGCTGAATATTACCATGTGGTTATCATGTAGATTATGTGGTTATCAGGCTGCACTCACTGGGGACTTAAGATGGGAACTACAAATTAAAAGGTTAAATTATTTATTATGAGAAATGTCCAAAGAGGTAAAATTGTACCTCCAAATGTCTAGGAAAGTATTTTCCAAGGGAAGGTAACTGCCTCCTTCATGTTCTACAAGTTTTCTTCCAAGCAGTCAATTTTAATGGACTGGGGGCAACTGAGGTGACCAGGAATGGCAGGCTGAAAGGACTGCTCGGCTCCCCAGGCAGGGACTGGGTCACCAGTGCAGATCGATCTCATGAAGCATTGGTTTACGTCATCTTTATTCAAGTGAAACAAGCCATGTTCCAGGATATATCACAGAATTTTAATGTATCCAGGAGTCAGGCGATTTATTAACTGATGTAAAGTAGTACTAATTATTTGTAAAGCAAAAGAGGTTAACATCCAAGCCACAAAACCTGGACTAGCAGGGCAGATAATAAGTTTGAATTCCTAAACAGAATCTGCCTCTTGCTAAAATGATGAAAAATGCTAAGCGTGTCACCAGTTCTGGTGACAGCCCTGGTATAAAGCGCTCACATAATAAATAATGACTTAAGCAAAAGCTGGTATGTAGAAGTTACTCCAAAATACATAAAACTAACCGCAATTACTCCTTGTTGCCAAGAAGACAATATAAGTTGGAAGTTTGGAGGATTTAAAAACTTAATTTATCTAAATCTTTCTTCCGAACTTTTATTAATCCTATCAAAACTAATTTTCACTCTCTGTCATCTTTTTCTTTCCCTGCTGATACCAGGATGAAAATGGTCATTAAAAAATGGTCAAAAAAGAATACTGGAACAGAAAAAAAATAAACTCACCCATAAACAAAAATAATGGTACCTAACATTACAATGACTTTGACTTAAAAAACTAAATCATTTGAGATTCTCTTATATTAAGACTGCAAATTATTTTATTTCTGAAATTTCTGATAAGCAATGTGGCAATACATCTATCAAGAGCCTTAAAATAATTACTCTCCTTGATTTAATAATCTCACTACTAGATTATGTCTTAAAGAAATAAAGATGTTAAACATTTTTATAGTCAACAATGTTCAGTGATATTTATATATTCAAAAAATTAGAAATAATCTAAAGGTCTGCAAGAAGAAAACAATTAAATCAAAATACACCTAACATTAACACTATGCAGTCATATTTTGAGGCTATTTAATCTCATGGGAAAATTCTCACAATAAAATGTTAAGTTAAAAAAATTCATATACCAAATTTCATGGCATGATCTCAATTTTTTTAAAAGCATATAATTTGTCTGCATATATATTTTAAAAATACCTAAATGTTAAGTTGGTAAGATTATAGAATTTTTTTCTCTTTATGCTTTTCTGTTCTTTTCAAATTTTTGGCAATGAATGTGTGCTGCTTTTATAATCTAAAAAAGATAGTTTATTAAAATTTTGACTTTTTGTACATAATTTTCAGCTTACTTTTCCACTGAGATCTATGAAAAGACCAATTTCCCTAAAAATATATTGTCTAAAACCTACTTATGTCATCTTAATAAACAAGACATATTCAAGGAAATATTTTGCTTCCCTTGAGGGACAAGGTATGCAATTCCTTCAGGCTGAGGAAGGAAGAGGAACACAAAGTCTGTTTTCATTAGCAAATATTTGAGCCCTAACTGTGTAGAATACAACACAGTCTCTGTCCATTATAACCTTACAAATAAGCTATCTACACATAAAAAGATAAATAACTACACAGGTTAGCCTGGGTGAGGTGTGCCAAAGGAAGAGTAGAGGACACTAAAAAGGCAGGATCCCCAAAGACAGGGCAGCCCATAGACCAGAGCTTACCCTTCAAGAGGGAGCAGTGGAACACCATTCCTGAAAGTGGGGGAAACGGGCAGCAGAGCATGCACATGGCTGGCTGGCTTTGGAAAGGAAACCATCAGTTTGGGTGAAGTTATGATTTAGGGTAGATGTGAGATAAGTTAGTAGGGTTAAGAAGGCTGATCCTGAAAAATACCTAATGGCTTACCATCTAGGCAACCATAATGAACTCTTACTTTCTCAAAACTAATGGAAAACTTGCCATACTCAATTCACCCCTTATCTATTTTTAAATTATACTTAAGTTTAATTAAAGTGTCATTGAAGAGTTAAAAATGCACAGAAGCACCTTCTAATAACAGAGCCGCTAAGAGGTCTAAACAGAAGAGGAAAACTCTTTAGGTACTAACATGAAAGCAACATAGAAATAAGGTAATTAGAGAATTTAAACCAATTTTAAAAGTTCACTGTCCACTTTAAAGTTCCATAAAACATCAATTTTTGTTTTGACTTAGATTAGATCTATCACCCATACAACTTTCCTAAAAACCTACTACAAACCTAAATAGGTGTATACAGAAATGAGTCCAGTCCTATAGCAAAACCACAACTGACTCTGTCTCACTTCAAATTTTAAAAATGTCTTTCACTGCCACAACTGTTCATTTTAGAATTCCAGTTTTGTTTTAATGCAGGTCTCAAAAAAGGTAAACAATGTAATAACTGGCAATCTATGTCAGTACTGAACTCTACATTTGATTCATCACTTATTCCACACAACCAGCAATATAATGGAAATATCATACCCATTTCACAGATGAGAAAGCAGGGCCAAATAGGATAAGGACTTCCTTTGCCCCAGTCCTACACCTAGCTAAGAGTTGCCTCGGTTGGACTCCAGGTCCCACCAATTCCTGGGCCCTCCATTTTTTCGTGCAACAATACAATGCCTCCCGTTTACCTAGGACTTTCTAGTTCCCAGGGAAATAGCACTAAAATAAATCAATTTTGACAATTCTTGTGTTCTTCCAATGCTGATATGCTATGCTAGTTACCTAGCCAAGCAATCAATTAAATGGAGGAACTTCCCTAGCACCGCTTGATAAACATTAACAAACAATTCCATTAAAGCTTTTTTGAAACTGCTTTTTAAGAAAGGAAGTTACAGGCAAATAACTAGTCAAAAGACAGACTGAGATATTTACTGATCACATAAAAATGGAACAGCACCTTAAAAATAACTTCACCTTAGAGCTTACATACAATTTTGTGATGGCAAGAACAGCCAGTGGCACAGAACAGCCAACACCAAGCAAGTAATTCAGATAAATTTAGGGAGGTTCTATTTTCTGCTTAAAAATTGTATCCTTTCCCACACTGCAATTTTAATATACTTTGCAAATTACATTCTCTCCATTTGTTTCCGAAAAAGCATTTTCCTTCACAAGAGGATTAGCAAATACATATCAAATAGGAGCGCAAAGGACAAAATCATGCCCTGGAACTGAGACTATATGAATATTCTCATTCCAAATTTCTTCAGTAGCCCTCATAATACTTTATGCCAATAAAGAGAGAACTGTTTCACCTGTAGAAAATGAACTAAGACAGGAAGCTAAACTTTATTTTTAAATTCAATTGCTCTGCTTTTGTCTACTGCTAAATATAAAAGGCTAGATTATGACTATTTTAAAGAGATCCATAAATACAGTACATTCTAGCTTCATACTCTCTCCACGAATACTTGTTAGTATCCTGACCTAAGTCTGAAATGAACTTTATCTAATTTAAGTTATACCATAAGAGTAAAACTTATATTATCTAAAATGTAATTTCTCTAATAAAGAAAAGCCAACATGGATGAATATGTATTAAATCCAGTTCAATTTATTATTTGAACGTTTTCCCCTAGCTACGCAATATAAAGAATAATGGCCTAAGAGGTGTGTACACAGAAGGGGAGGGAACATCGGAGAGGAGCTGGGAGAGCGTCCTAAGATTCAGCATTTCAAACTACCACAGGGTCAACCTTTATTATCCTCACCATAGAGGTGCACCTTCAAATGATCAAAATTCATTTATTCAGCAAACAAGAGCCGTAGCATCATAGCGCAGTAGAAAGAGTACCACAGAACCTGGAGCCCAGCAAGTGACTCAACTTCTACAAATAGGCACATCTTAATCTATAAAACAAAGATAATCACCATCTTAGACAGTTAGTATGAAGGCTAAGTGGGATAATATATATTAGCAAGATGCGAGTAGGCTCAATATCATCCACCGTTTCCCCCCCAACTTTTCAGAACTGGCCTTCCTCCCAGGAGAGTCTGGTATTTGAGGGGGGTTATATACTTAGTTTCCCACCTTACATTGATATCCCCTAAAAGGCCCATCAAGCTGCCCCTAAATGCCTCTACTAGACATACTAGTAAGATCCCTGCCACAAGGTCTGTATAATCTCTTACAGGGATATGCTAGAAGAGGTGTTCTTTCCCCAACACCTACGTTGGGGAGTTCATAGGAGGCATCTCAGAGAAATTCATTTTCTTGTTTGAGCTACGAATTGAAATCGGCAATGATGGGGAAGAGGCTTTTCAGAAAAGAGACCTGAGAGAGCTTAGTGTGACTGGGACAGTAATACAGAGCATAGGAGATGAGATCAGACAGGTAGGCAGGGGCCAGATACCCAAAGGGTCTGGTATTCCAAGCAAATCAGCTGCAGTTCCTTGGGTCTGACAAGCCCTTACCAGAGGGCTTCAGGGCCCAGCTGAAAGGTCACCCTCCTGAGTGTGTCCTTCCCCTCCCCACACCCCTGCACACCAGCTCCCATGCCCTCTCATGGCGCCATTCCTTTCCCAGCAGAGCCATTATCACAACTGCAGTTATACAGTTACATGAGTAATAATCTGTGTCCCCACTCAACTAAATGATAACTTCAGTCTGTGTAAGGCCCATGTCCATTTTATTCCACTCTGTATCCTAGGGCTGGCTGAGTATAGCATCTACCCAAAATATATAGATACATATTATTAAATGAACAAATGAAAGCTGCCACTAAGAAGGGGGTACCTGAGTGGCTCAGTCAATTAAGCGTCTGCCTTCAGGTCAGGTCATGATCCCAAGGTCCTGGGATGGAGCGCGAGCCCTGCATTGCGTGGGGCTCCCTGCTCAGTGGGGAGTCTGCCTCTCCCTCTCCATTTGCCTCCCCCCCCCACCCCCAACTCAGGCGTGTGTGCTCTCTCTCTCAAATAAATAAATAAATAAAATTTAAAAAAAAAAGAAGCCAAAGACGAATCCTGAGCAGGGGAATGGCAATCAGAGATGACAGTTACACAAACCACTCTGGTAGCAAAGTGAAGACCAGCCTGTTAGGGCAAGACTAGAGCTGCGGGACAGGTAAAGAGACAACTGAAAATGTCTCCAGGTAAATGATCACTTAATGACCTAAAAATGAAGGCAGCCAGTATGTGGGTAGTGATGATGAGGATTAATGGAGGACACATGTTTAGGAAGTAGAATCTCAGAACTCAATGCATGTGGGGCAAAGCAAAGAGGGAAATCCAGAATGATTCTAATGGACAGTGGTAGCAAGTGGTGCCATTCCCTCAGACCAGAAATACACAGGACAGGAACAAACATTTCTTGAGCATCTACTACATGCTAGGATCAAGGGAAAGATTTGCTTCTAGTTCTAAAATTCTATGACTGAAAAACAATTTAAATTTAGCCCAGCTGTATTAAAATGGGTACAGTTTCTATTAATAGGCTGATAAAATCAACAAAATAAGTTTACATTTTTGAAGTTTCTTCATCGAGACACCACTTGGGTATCCTAACTACGCATGAGGCATTACACTGGTCTGGGGATGTTGAAATCAAAGAAGTGGTCTCTGCCTTCAATTAAGTTTGAGAAAAATAACTGCATATCAACAAATGAGCAACTGAGGCCCAGTGGGGCTATGATCTGACCATTTAAATGACCTATAACCCACACTTCTGGAGCACAGATTTCATAACCTACATTTCCAGGCCAATATGTAGTTGAGGGGGTATGTATGTAGACAGACAGACCCAATCCTGCTTTGAGCCTGAAGACACTGCAAACTTAAAACATCACAGACTTGTGATCTATGGTGTGTGACAGACTTTGAAGTAACTGCTGAATAGCCACACAGCAGCACTTTGGAGGGTACAATACAACAAGGAGAGAGAAAGAGGCCTGATTTGTTATGGAAGAGCCTACCTGAGCAGAAGCCAAATGCTGGAGGTGCCAAAGCAGAATCTCAGGAGGCTCTGGAAGCAGTAGAGAAATAAATGTTCAGGGAAGGTATAGCAGGAATCCTCTTTAGACAGGCTCCTCCCCTACCATGGGCAAGAAATGGTTTCCCATAGGATGTAAGGCCTCGACCTAAAGCAGACTTACAGAAAAACAGACGAGGAAACCATCCAGTGTGAATAATGTAGTTCCAGATCATCCAGAGTAGAAAACACATGTCCAGTGCTCTCGTGAGGCTAGTAAGTCTGAGAGACTTTACACCAGCTCTTTGCAAACAAAAACAAAATACCGAAAACTTCCCTCTCCATGCCCAAGTTCCTGCCCCATTCCTCTTCCTTCCTTCTCATAGTCTTAAAAAAAAAAAAAAAAAAAATGGGGCGCCTGCGTGGCTCAGTCATTAAGTGTCTGCCTTCAGCTCAGGTCATGATCCCAGGGTCCCGGGATCGAGCCCTGCGTCGGGCTCCTGCTTGGCGGGAAGCCTGCTTCTCCCTCTCCCACTCCCCCTGCTTGTGTTCCTTCTCTCGCTGTGTCTCTCTCTGTCAAATAAATAAATAAAATCTTAAAACAAACGAACAAAAAAAAAACAGCTGCACTGTCTTTACCTCCTCATCTCCCTTCCATCCACTTGGATCTCAGTTCTTCCACCACTTAACCTTGTCTTCTCATCCTCCCTGAACCCTCGGAGCACTTTCCCCTTTTCTCTGCCTGTACTTTAAGACCCATTCAATGTCACCTCCTCTGTAAAGCATTCCCAAGTCAGACAGTTCCCTGCCCCCAACTTTGTGCTTCTGCAGGGTTTTGCCTATGCCTCATCACAGCATTCGCTGGATCTTATTGTTACTGTTTACTTCAGTGTCCCCAATAGCCTGTAAGCTCCTAAAGGCAGTCACTGGTTTTTATTCATTTTTCTATTGCTACCCTTGAACCCAGGGCCCTGAAAATAGACACACAAAGGCGCCATGAATAAATGATCATAGGTTAAGTTTATCTTCAAAACTGCTAGAATCTACTCAAGTAACTTTTCCACAGAAGTTGCTCTAAGAATTTACCTGCACACACATACGCTGAGAAGTACCTAAATTGTATTTTATTATAAAAGTATTTGGCTAAAAATTTTATCTTCTGGCTGTTAAGCAAACAGCGCACATGCAGTTAAAATAGGTCTTTAGAGTTCCTCATCTATGTTTTCAATTCCTAAAATTCTGGCCATGTGGAAAGTTCACTTGTGCCCTTTTCTTCTTGGGCAGTGTACTGAGTAAGCTCTTAGGCTCAGACAAGCTGCTATAGGGAAGACATCATGCCTCATTTATACCAATGCTTAGAACCATGGCTGTTCAATTATCTCCAAAAATAAATAACTTTTTTCCCACTTAGTTTCACTTTCTATATGACAGAAATACCCATAATAAGGTTTAGATGAACAGTATTTCCTGTGACCAGTCAAAATATCATGAAAGCCCTTCAATTTTAATAAGGACATATAAAAGCTTTTATTTGAGGATTATGGGATTAAATTTGAACATAAAGTCCCAATTTATATTTCTGTTCCAGAAAAATAAAAATTAGGGTACCTTCTAGGTTCTTGTATGTTTTAAACTAATTGATCTTACTGCAACGATACTGAAAAATTTACTCTAAATAGTAAAATATTAATAGGGTGACAGCCATTTCTGTGCATAAAATAAAACAACAAAAACTGTGCAGATTTAAAAAAATAGAAAGTTCCCTGCCTGGAAAACCTTGAAGAGGTAAAAGAAGTTAGCACCATACACTTAATTTTTCAGCTACTACACTGCTTTAATGTCTGACCTTGGGAATGTCATGTAATTTCTCTCATTTCTAGCTCTGTAAAATGGGAATGTCATGGTTTCCTAAGAGGGACATTAAGATAGTTGGATAAAAGATTATGTATTTGTTTAAAGGAAACTTGTCTAATTGGTATGCTTAAATCACCACTTGTACAGTACATTCCTCCTCAGGAATCCAATTCCAAAAGAAATATTTAAGCAGAAGCTGAAGACAGATTTCCTTAAGGGAATGATTTTATAAATTTGGAAAGCAATGTAACAAGATTATAAATTAATAAATTGATTATATAAACCTTGAGAGCCTCTGGCTTTAAAGTACACTGATCTACATTCTGATAAATTAGGCTGATTTGAGACAGTGTCCCAACCGGGTAAAAGGAACCCAAACTGAGGCATCTGACGTTTGACAGAAATTGGTGAAAATTCAGCAGGATACTCAAAACATTTGCAGTTCCATCACTTCTAAGTCATGCTTCACCTTAAAACCTGATAAAATGTGATACTCATTAAATCAGCTTTACCACCCGCATCTAAGACTGAGAATGCACTCAATTTTTAAAAAGAGAAAAAAGTAACCTGACAGTTTGAAAGGTCCTATATCCTCAGACCTCTATATATTTAAGAACCCTAGTGCTAAATTCTCCCCAAATGCTGAGCTTAAATCTATCTTCCCAAGAAGCTATCTGATCCAACTGTTAGGAATAGCACAGCTCCAGGAACCCCCCCCCGCACCCCCCAGGATAAGACTGTCACTTTCCTAGATCCCAAGTCCAAGTTAAAGGCAGGAAGGTTTTTGCAAAAGGGTCCAGAAAGAAATCAACAGGCGATGACTAGAGAAAAGAACGGAGGTTTCCCGATCTGGGGAAAAAAAAAAAATTTTCTAGCTCTCCCTCGGGAATGGCACTGCTCCTCCTTCCCTACCCCGATGCCCTTTCTCTACAGACAACAATATCCCCATTCTATTGTAAGGCTGCAGTTTTACCAAGGAACCCCTCTTGCTGCGGCCAGATTTCCAGATTCGTTTGAAAAAGGAAAACACATTCCGAGAACACACACCCCATGAGACTACCTGGGCGCGGAGAGCCTGGCCCGGACGCGGGGCCCCGCGGCGCCGCACTCGGCCCGCTCGGGGCGGGGCGCGGGATGCGGGCACCTCCCGAGGTGCCGCAATCCGGCCGCGGCCGCAAAGAGCAGGGCCTCCGGTAGCCC